CATCCTCAGTGCCAAAATAAAACAAGGATAACTAATATCACCTCTAGATACCAAATATATTGACCATTATAATGGAGTTCTTAGCTAATATAATAAGGAAAATAAATGAATAAATAACAAGGATAGGAAAGAAATTTAATTAGTTAATTAATTCTCATTATTTGAAAATTATTCTTAATATTTTTAAGCATATTTAAAACATTTTCTAGATAAAAGAGTTAGCATAAAATAATCAATCATAGGGGCGCCTGGGTGGCTTAGTCGGTTAAGCGTCCGACTTTCGCTTAGGTCATGATCTCGCGGTTCGTGGGTTCGGGCCCCGCATCGGGCTCTGTGCTGACTGCCAGCTCAGAGCCTGGAGCCTGTTTCAGTCTGTGACTCCCTCTCTCTCTGACCCTCCCCTGCTCACGCTGTCTCTCTCTCTCTCTCCTAGAAATAAATAAAACATTAAAAAAAATCAATCATATATCCATATACCAAAAAAAACCTTGGAAAGTAAAATTTAAAAAAAATTATTATTTACTTATGGGAGAAAAGTCATTAAAAACAAGTTAGGAAGGTTTTAGCATGTATAAAATATTAGAATTAATAAGTAAACTTTACAGGGTTGCTGGATCAAGGTGAATATTTACACATCAATTATATTTCTATATGTCAGAAAGAATCTGATTGAAAGGAACATTTTAATACATTATGGAAAAACACACTAAATTGAAATTTAGTTAGATTTCAAAAAAAATTAAAACATATAAAGTATGCCTTTTGTTGAATTTTCTGAAACCTTGTAGACATCACTTAGCACTAAACTGAATGAGAGATCACTGTTTTCAATAATAAATAATTTATCTTTGGAAACTGTCAGACCTTGACTTTCCTATGTTTTCAGCTTCAATTCATTCCCTTAATAGCATTTTAAAGCAATCAGTTATCTAGATACGTGTAGCAATATTAACTAGTACTAACTGAGTGAGCAATGCCTCTGCCTCTCCATAATTACATATCAGATGTCTGAATTCCAGAAGCAAGATTTCAGCTTCAAATAACCTAAATGAAATGTTGACTAGATAGATGCATTTTGCTCTTAGGGTGTACATTTCTTGCTCTTTTTCTCCAGGAGATTTATTTCCATCTTACAAATGAACTCAGGGAAAAAGGAGAATAGAAACTGGTATATACAGCATAATAAATTTGATCAAGTATTAGGTAAGTGGCCACTACATAGAAACATAATTCCATCAGTTTTGTTGTGTTACTCCTCACAATATTTATCAAAAATTCACAATAGTGTTGATTTTCCATTCTGGACCAGTCATAGCTGATTGGAAAATGTAAAACTAAAGAGAGATATACCCTGCAAGCTCTTACTGGTCAGTGAAGAAGGTTAAAAGATTTGAACCATTTGTGAGATTGGATATAATATCAACAAGACTGAGAGTCCTAAAATATGCCTTCTTTAAACTAAAAATAACCCTTCACTTCCATAAGACTTTTCCTTAACTTTGCTAATTTATGTTGGGCCATTAATTCAAATACTTTATTCCAAGTTATGTGATATTCTATAGTAAATGTTATTTTGAGGAACCATTGAAAATGTGTGATTCACTAGAAAAACAGGTTTTTTTTTTTTTTCCTGGCCAAGTACTCCACTGTTATAAGTATTGATGGTAGAGCTCACATTCTCTGAAATGTCATATTATTATTCCTACCTATTTTTTCATGATTATAAATAATGGGGCTGTTTTAAACACTCCGATAAAGTCTTCAAATACTCCTTACCCTCAGTATAGAGGTTTCAAGTTTCAAAACCCAGTCACCACTCTGTCATTTTCTTTCCCAGGATAATTTATAGTAGGGATATTCATTTTTTTCAGGGAAAATATCTAGTCTTATCACAGCATGTGTTTGACTGCCATGTTCCAGTGTAGTTTTCAGAATCTGACTTTAAATAAGCTTAAATAGCTTAAATAGTACCACACGTTGGATTCCAGGATTCCAGTCCAGAGCAAACTAACAGAACTAGTCTAGTTAAAACTTAGTCTCATCACAAATGTGAAGTGAAAAGCATGGGTATTCCACAAGTCACTTCTCACCTCAAAAATCTCAGGTCAATAAATGTAGGGATAATAAGAGTTCATATCTCCCAAGACCAGTGGCCCTAAAACCAAAATTTGTAGACTCAACTGTAAGCCCATATTTCGGAATTTATAATACTATAAAACTTTCTCTAACACTGTTAAAGATGCACTCAACTTACATTACTAAGCACAACTCCTAACTTTTAAATCTGCAGCATCTAACTTTCAGATTAATGAATTAGTCAGAATTAATGCCAAGAAAACTACAGGTGCATTTGCTTTACATTTCTGTAACAGAAGGGCAGGTTACAGTGCTTTGGAATTTTGCTTTTGTTTATATTATTGCTGTCTCTGCTTTACGGAGGAAAAATCATCATATTAATTACTTGGAAACACAACATGACCTATAAGCACAAAAACAAATGGAAATCCCAAAAGTACCCTGTTGTAATCTATTTTTTATTTTTATCTTTTATTTTTTAAATATAATTTATTGTCTAGTTAGCTAACATACAGTGTATACAGTGTGTTCTTCACTTCAGGAGTAGATTCCCATGATTCATCACTTACATACAGCACACCGTGCGCATCCCAACAAGTGTCCTCCTCAGTGCGCATCACTCATTTTCTCCTCCTGCACCCCCCCCCACCTCAACCCTCAGTTTGTTCTCTGTATTTAAGAGACACTTATGGTTTGAGACTTTATGTTTGAAACTATTTTTTCCCCTTCCATCCCCCATGGTCTTCTGTTAAGTTTCTGAAATTCCACATATGAGTGAAAACATATGATCTTTCTCTGACTGACTGATTTCACTCAGCATAATATCCTTCAGTTCCATCCACAATGTTGCAAATGGCATGATTTTATTCTTTCTCATTGCCAAGTAGTATTCCACTGTATATAAACCACATATTCTTTATCCATTCATCAGCTGATGGACATTTAAACTCTTTCCAGAATTTGGCTATTATGACAGTGCTGCTATAAACATTCGGGTACATGTACCCCAGTGATGAATCAGCACTTGTGTACTCTTTGGATAAATTCCTAGTAATGCTATTTTTGAGACGTAGGGTAATTCTATTTTAATTTTTTTGAGGAAACTCCACACCATTTTCCAGAGAGGTTGCACCAGTTTGCATTGCCACCAACAGTGCAAGGGGGTTCCCCTTTCTCATATCCTCACCAGCATCTGTAGTTTCCTGAGTTATTCATTTTAGCCACTCTGACCAGTGTGAGGTAGTATCTCAATGTGGTTTTGATTTGTATTTCCCTGATGATGAGTGATGTTGAGCATATTTTCATGTGTCTATTGGCCATCTATCTGGATGTCTTCTTTGGGAAAGTGTCTGTTCATTTCTCTTGCCCATTTCTTCAGTATATTATTTGCTTTTTGGGTGTTGAGTTTAGTAAGTTCTTTATAGATTTTGGGATACTAATCCTTTATCATTATATGTCATTTGCAAATATCTTCTATTCTGTCGGTTGGCTTTTAGTTTTGTATATTGTTTCCTTTTCAGAGCAATAAAGAACTATGCCCAGCCAGCTGACAAAGGATCTCTAGCTGGTGGGCACCTGCAGGGTCTTTTGTCCTTGGAGCAGCTATAGACCTTCTTTTCACAGCGCTCAAGGGAGAGGACTGCTCTCTCCGAGTGTGCCCCGAGTGAGCTAACTACCAATCCCGGGGCTGCCTTCCCCTCCCCTCCCATGAGCATTTACAGGGTGGTAGGCTCCAGTCCAGAGAAAGCCCCACAACACTGGACAATTGCCCGTAAAGCTGTTTGCAAGTTAGAAGTTGTTTCTTTCTCCATTTTTTCCATACCCTGGTCCATGGTCTGGAAAGGTTCTTCTCTTGTACAAATACAATCCTACACTTCCACATGGACCTCTCTTTCTCTTCCTTTTGTCTCTTTACAGAAAGGGATCCCTCCCCTCTGTGCCTATGCTGCCCATTTTACCTCTCCCATTTTGCAATCAAGAACCTATGGCCCACCAAGTTGTTCCTGTGGGCCCTTGGAGATGTTTCTGTCACTCTGTAGCTTGGATTCCTGGAATTCCAAGTCTTCTGGCCTCAATACTGCTGTTTTTGGGGGATTAGGGAACTTTGGGCCCTCCTACTTTTCTGCCATGTTGACTCCTCCTCTGTAATCTATTTTTTAAATTGTTTCAGAATACCAGCATTTTCCAACAGCTCACCTAACCTCTGACATTGTTATTGCTTCCTATTTTTAAGAATAATCATACAATTAAAAAAAAACATATAAACAATAAAAAGGGAAAAATCCTACGTTACTACCTCTTATATCCTCTTTTTGATGACAACTTTCATTAGAGGTATACCATTTAATTAAGAAGTTTTCTCAGATAAAATAATGAAAGACAGTTGATCTTATTTTACTTTACTTATCCACAGGAGTGCTTTAAAGCCTCAATCAACATAATGTGCTTTTTAAAGGAAACAGATTTTATAAATTATATATGCACATATGTAATACTAATATGTATATATGCATGCATATGTATACCTTTGTTCATTTATTCACTTTCAATATTTTGTGCTCCATTAACTCCTCCCTAAACACAAACCAAGCTTTGTATTTTTGTCCAATGTGAGATTTTTAACCATTCAGTTCACTGTGATTACTGATACATTTGATATTAATTCTATCATATTATTTTTTTATTTATCATATATCCCTTTATATTTTACATTTTGTAAAATTAATAATATTTTAGTTCATTTTTCATCTTTAGATTTTTTTAAATTTTAGTAATGGTTAACTTTAAACTGTCGACAAGACATATTTGTATTTATAAAATCCTCTACCCAAAATATTATATAAGGTTCAGATATTCACAATATGCTTGATGTGAGAAGGAAATACAGCTTATTTTTATAAATACACAATATTGTGTATACTTACGATGATATTCTCCAATGGTATTCTTCTGGCTTCTATATGAGGTGACTGCCTGTTAGGTGATATCATTCTTCAAAATAAATATCTTTACAAAGTGTCAGCATCAATGTTCCTTACACCACAGTTGCCTTCTGTATCAAAAAGCTTTGATAGAAAGTACCAAGTTTCTCAATTAATGCAAAAATATATATACATAGTAATAAAAAAACTATAAACATGATCTTGAACATAAAACCTTTGATCGATTCTTAAGTCTATTCTTAAATTCTATGTTACTAGAACTTCAGGTTTCTTGTGTGAGGAATATAAACACTTATAAATATAAGATGATAGCCTTCAGATTATCCCCTAAATTCTATAGACATTCCCTTGCATTTTAACTAGAATTTGGAAATGGCTTCTCAAGATCTTGTGAAAGTTAATTTATCTTGCCTTCTCTGTCAAATATTTCTATTTTATCCTTGGTTATTTTTGAATGCAGATTGGAACCCAAAGAACAGTAGTCTTTTATAAAAGTCAGTCTTCCTGCATAATATCTAATGGTTAGATTTATCCCTGAGGAAGGATGTAAATTCATTGCAAATGATACTTTAATGGAGCCCAGCCTTTTTGCCTTGCAAAGAGATCCAAATAAATGTGGCAGCCAGCAGCAATTCCTATGGGAAGCAGTGCAACATGAAGCAAGTGATCTTGTCAGAAATAAGTAAATAAATACCTTTAGCTTTACCATTCTAACAATTTTAACCCATCAAAGAAATGCAGCACATGATTTACATGTTGTTGATAATCTTTTTAAGGAACGAGTCCAAGTGCTAGGGCTTGTTTGCACTTACTGTAATAGATGTGACAGATGTCTTATTCATGATATGCTGGAGAAAATATTAATTCCCACAAAGTTGCAAAATGCTTATAAGTGCATATACATTAATTTACTTTAGATAAATGACCCCCTTTCATTGGCATGGGTTAAGTTAATTTTTTGGGTGTCTCTTCTAAAACACGCTATGTGATCCTTTTCACATATAGTTTCCTCCACATCAGATCATACATCATAATAACACCCAGAGCTCTGAAGGAATTAATAAAGCTGTGAAATTGAAGACAAAGAAGAGGAAGACAAAGAAGAGAAGAGGAAGATGAAGAAGACAAAGAAGAAGATGAAGAAGAAGAAAAGGAGGAGGTAGAGGAAGAAGAAAAGGAGGAGGAGGAAGAAGAGGAGTAATGGTGAAAATGTTCACTCTCAATCACCTTGGGTAACAATGACAGGTAGCTTCTTCATAGGGAATTCTTTAAACTTAAGAACCTTTTAACCTTACTAAATTAAAATGGGTAGTGAGTATGTTATAGTGATTTTAATGATAATTACTTGAAATTATTTTGAATAGGTAACAAATATAACTGTCTACTAATCCACTGCTGAATTACTAAGGGAATGATGTGCTTTGAGAATTTCCATGGGCAATACTATAAAGTATGGGGCCTTGTAAAAGTTTTCTTTAATTCCAAAGTCATTTTGAAGTAGGACGAGTTGGCTACTCATGAATTAGTGAGATACCTGACTGGAATTAACATTCTCGTCAGGGAAGAGAAGCAATTTCTGTAAGTAATTGTTGTAAACTTAATGAGATTCTAAAGAGTTGCAATAGGAGATAACAGTAATTTTATACTGGAGTTAATCTTTTCAAAATAAGTCTCATTATAAAAGTTTGCTATGCTGTTCATTTATTTTATTTCTATTTTATTCTGAGATGTATAATCCATATAGAAAAGCATACAAATGGTTATAGGTGAATCGGTAAAGGGGTCAAAAGGTACTAACTTCCAATTTTAAACAAATAAGTCATGGAGATGTAATATACAACATGGTAACTACAATCAATAATACTGTATTATATTGCTACAAGAATGGATCTTAAGAGATCGCATAACAAAAACAATTTTAACTATGTATGGTAGCAGATATTAACTAGACTTATTGTGGTCATTTGCAGTACATACAACTATGAAATTATTATACTATATACATAAAACTAATATAATGTTATATGTCAATTATATCTCAATAAAAGAGAAAAGTCTAAAAATTAAATATATGTAATTTAAAGAATAATTATAATGAAATCATAGTGTACTACCACACAGGTCAAGAAAAGGCACATTGACAAAACTTCTGAAGGCAACTTTTATCACCTTCCTTACAAATTTCTTCATTCCTCCAAAATTAACCAGCATGTGACATTTGTGATAATCATCTTTGCTCTTTTTTTAAATGTTTTATTTATTTTTGAGGGAGAGAGGGTGAGAATGAGGGAGGGGCAGAGAGAGAGGGAGACATAGAATCCAAAGCAGGCTCCAGGTTCTGAGCTGTCAGCACAGAGTGGGATGTGGGCCTTAACTCACAAACCGTTACCTCATGACCTGAGCTAAAGTCCAACATTTAACCAACTGAGCCACCCAGGCGCCCCAATCACTTTGCTTTTTGAGAACAGTTTATCTCAGGAGCACTGGGGTGGCTTAGTTAGTTAAGTGTTGGACTTCAGCTCAGGTCATGATCAAGCAGTTCATGAGTTCAAGCCCCACACAGAGCTCAGGGCTGATAGCTCAGAGCCTGGAGCCTGTTTTGGATTTTGTGTCTCCCTCTCTCTTCCCTTCCCCCGCTCATGCTCTGTCTCTTCAAAAAGAAATAAACATTAAAAAATATTTTAAAAAAGAATAGTCTATTTCATTTTCATTCCTTAGAATTTAGATTTTTTGAACATTTTAATATTTATCTATATTGCATGTAGCTGTGATTATTTCATTTTTATTACTGTATAGGATTCCATTGTATGATTTTACTAGAATTTATACATTCATTTTGTGCCATTTCCAGCTTTTCTAATACTGAAATGTACAGGAGTATATGTATTTCTATGCATCTTGGAAGGGATGGGAGTATGTGTGCAGAGTGGGGTATAAATGTTCTACAGAGAACTGGTCTTCAAAGTAAAGCCCCTGAAGCAGCAGCAATGGCATGACCCTGGAGACTTGTTAGAAGAACACTATTTTTTAGTTCTACCTCAGAAACTGAACTTGGGGCCAAGCTATCTGTTTAAACAGATAAGTCTTCTAGTTGATTCTGACACACACACTGAAGTTTGAGAACCATGCATAGTTGTAAGTGGAATGGCTGGATTATAGGATGTGTACATCTATGACTTTATTAGGTAATTCCAAGTTGTTCTTTGAAGTGGTTGTAGCAGCTGATAAAACTCCAGTGGTGCATGACAGTTCACATACATTGTGAGCATAGAGATACACTGTTCAGATCCTCTTTCAAAGAACTCATGGGCTCAGTTACTGTCATGGCTGACAGTGGATAGCCCTCAGGTGTGAATTTCTTCCAGGATTGCCTCAGGTGCACTGAGCCTTCTCACCACAGTCACACCATTCCACAAGATGGCCCAAATCCAGTGACTTATTTGGGTGGGGGTTGTAAAAGCCTAGCCGTTTCAACCTAATGTAGGACAACTCTGATGGGATATTTTGGCTACAATTCTGTAGCATCTATGGAGACTGTCTCCTGGGGTTGCTTCCCAGCTTGGCTTTCCAAGCTTCCTATTTTGTCTCTTTTCTTTCCCTTCTTTAAAAACAACCTGAATGTTAAATCCTATCTCCATGTCTACTTCCTAGAAGATCTTAACTTCAACCATATTCTCTTAAATTCTTGGCAATTAACTAAATCTAACATTTTCCCTGTGTTTTAGGGTTTTAATAATACTTAATTACACTTTCCTGATTACTAGTACTGCTGAGCAGCATTTAATTTAGAATTTCTCTCTTGTGAAGTTCCAGTTCAAGTATTTTATTCAATTATCTATTGTGTTGCAAGTCTTTTTTCTTCTTAATTGGTAAAACTTCACATATGCTAGATATTGGATCTTTGTTATTATAAGCTTTACAATATATTTTCTTACTTGTGTTATCATTTGTATTATTATTAATAGTAGATAATTACCAACTTTTAATAAGGTTGAATTGTTCAATCTTAAATTTATGCTAGTCAATTTTGCATTCTGTTTAAGAAATCTTTTCTTAACTCTAGGGGATGAAAGCCTTGCATGGATTTTTAGGCAGATTAAATAGAATAACCAGTTTGGGGATGATATAAATCTTCACCATTCTCTTTTTTTTTTCTTTTAAATTGAAGTATATTTAACATACAATGTAAAGTTAGTTTTAGCTATATAATATAATGTTTCAACAATTCTATACATTACTCAGTGCTCATAAAGATGTTTATTCTTTTTTTTTTTATATATATTTTTCAGGTCTTTCCCTGTTTGCATTTCACTTTGGGGGTTTTCTACTGGTATATATCTCACAGATTATCTTTCTTTAGCTACGTCCAGTATACTAATGAGCCTATTAAAGTACTTCATTTCTGTTACAGTGCTTCTTATGTCTAATGTATCTTTCTTATTCTTTCTTAGAATTTCCATTAACCGTGCTTTTTTATATGTTTTCTACCTTTTAGACATCAGAACTCTTATAACCCTTAGAATATCAATCACAGTTGTTTTCTGTTTATTTATTTTTGAGAGACAGAAGGAGACAGCATGCGTGTGGGAGGAGCAGAGATGGGGACAGAGGATTTGAAGCAGGGTCTGCTCTGACAGCAGAGAGCCTAATGTGGGGCTTGAACTGAACCATGAGATCATGACCTGAACAGAAATCAGGAGTCAGATGCTTAACTGACTGAGCCACCTATGGGCTCCACAATCACAGTTTTATAATTTACAGTCTGATGTCCAAATCCCCTGACACTGCTGAGTCTTTTCTGTGTTTTTTGCATTTTGGTATGCCTTGTAATTTTTTGTTGAAGTCTGTACATGATAAACTAGTGAAAGCATTTCAGGTAAACAGGCCTTTTAATAATGTGGTGGTAAGGTATGTGGGGAAGGGAATATCCTATAGTCCCATAATTAGGTTTCAATCTGTGAAATTTATAGGTGCGTATCATGAATTGCCTGAGGTGTAAAATATGGCTAGTGGGGGCTAGAGCTGGTACTTCTCTTTCACTTCATGGAAGGTGAGAGCAGACTGGAGTTGGTATTTCCCTTTTACCAGGTAGGTTAGGTTCTTATAATACCCCAATAGGTTAA